CCCCCCACACACACACACACACACACACACACACCCCGTCCCCAAACCACACTTGTGGGATTACAGTAGATATGTTGTTGTGTTGTACCTGTGTTTAAGGGCTAAAATGAAAGAATTCTGCATCCGACATAGATATTGCTGAAGAGCTGAACGTTGGCTCTTGCTTATAGGCTTACTTGCCAATTTGGTGATGTGCTTAAGATTTTTAGAGGCAATTTTGGGTCAATTTTGATGGTAATATTGTGGGAGGGAGCTATCTATTTTCTTGCCAGGAGGATGTTTATGTTTTTGGCTACCAGTCTATTTGGTTTCAATGCCAGTTGAAATTTTACTGTATATCAATACCAAAAGATCTGTTGGCTCAGTTTAAGTTCTGATTGGAGTCTCATTCACATTTTGTTATAACTGTGAAATCTTCAATGGTTCGAATACGGTGGATAATGGGTCTGCCCCTCTACCCTTCTCCACTTAAATTTCAGGCCTTTGTATGTGGCAATATTCGAACTCGTTAACCCACACATCACAAGTTGTTCTCTTACCACTAGAGTCCGAGACCAAAGCCCGGGGGGTGACTCTCATTCATCTTTCAGAATGAAAACATCATGATGTTCGTTAATTCCAAAAGTTTTGATTGTAGATTTGGATAAGTTGGAATTGTTTAGCTGTGCTTTTTTTCTTTCTTGATTCATAATTTGATGCACATGACAGGTTTTGCAATGCAAGTTTGGTCAGTGATTTTACCTTGGTTGTGGACGGAGTAAACTTCCACCTTCACAAGGTACTTATTCTTCTTTAAATTTTTAAAATTAAGGGATATGCAACTTAGCATGTGACCTTTAGTGCTAGGCAATTTTGAGGTGAAGTGTTTTCTCATTTCCTTTATCATGCATTTAAATAATCCATGTTTATAATGGAGATGTTGCATTCCAACTTTGTTAATTTTTTTTTGCTGTAAGTTCTTAAGTTATATAGAACTCAGTTCAAGAAGCAGATTGGTCAATTTTGGCAAATGTTGAAGGAATAATACTATGAGGGTTAGTGTTTATGAGAGATGACAATTTTCTACTTTCGAGTTATGCCCTGTTAGATTGTTACATAGCTATTATACCATTAATTTTTCTATTTGTTGAATGGCAACTGACGAACATAGAGTTTCTAGTCTTTCCTTTTTCCTCGTGAACCACTTAGTCGAATTGCGGCCCATGGGCAAAATGTATGTCAATATCAAAAGTAGCCCTACCTCACTGAACTAGATTCAATAAGAACAAAATGGAGTATCATACTTCAAAAATAATGCCCTTTTTATAGCTTCCTACTTGAGAAAAACATGGCAACGCTTGTTCAAGAATGAGTTAATGTTTTTACAATTTACTTTAAAGTTTGTAGTTCGGCTGTGCCTACTTGTGTTTCATGCATGGTACAATGGTTATCACCATTTGCTAGTTTGAATGCGATGGGTTTCTCATGTTTCCAAAAGAGATGGTGATTGTAGGTGTTAATCCAGCCTGGTTGATGAATCCATTCAACTGGAGTCCTGGAAGAGTGGGCCTCTGTTTATATGGGATAAGAGAATCTATATGACTCATTTTAGGCCTTTAGATTGCTACCTGGACGCATCTTTTGAAGCATCATTCCCTCTGTTCTAAAAATATAGTCTAATTTTACCTTTGAATTGTCCTTAACAAATATATACTCCCTAAATTTGAATATTTTTAAAAAATAATTAGTAACTACATATTGTAGGCTATTACGGGAGTTATAGGAGATGATCGTTTCTATGTTCAAGTTATAAACTAATTTAAATGAACTTCCTTTGAGAATCCATTCACAGAATCCACATTTGCTTTGGACCATCACTTTCTGATCTATCATCTACTGTGTTGGTATATTTTTTATGGAATAGCTACAATCAAATGAGTTTGAATAATAGGTCTTGGGTAAGGATTAATGGACATGGTGGTAAGAATTGATGAGGTTGTTTAAAATTATTTCTTGTTTAGTAATAATAATCCAGTACTGTCATGAGGTTTAATGGATATGTTGGCAAGATATAATGGGGCTTGAGAATAATTCTTCTGTAGTAATGATAATCTGAAAAGTATCATAAACTTCATGGATTATGTATTACTCCCTCTGTTATGACTTATTTTCCTTTTCAGTCAGTCCCAAAAAGAATGACACATTTCTATTTAGTAACAATTTAACTTTTAAAATACCTATTTTACCCTTAATATAATGATTTATAGCCACACAAATATCTATGACTTATTTTAGACCACAAATTTCAAAAGTCTTTATTTTTTTTCTTAAAACTCCTTACCAAGTCAAAATAACTCATAAATTGGGACGGAGGGAGTAGTACTTTATTTTAAACATGTTGGCATATGGTCAGAATGATGAGAATTATATTTAGGTTATTCTTAACATCTAATACTGTTTGGAAATTGTTATTTCCAGCATCTGAAACTATCTAAATTTTCTGATAATTCCTCTTGATGTGCACTAATTGTGAGAAAGAAATTATTGGGTTGGCTAATTATCTCCTTTTTTCATAAAGAATAGTTTTAATACCTTAGTTGTTCATTGTATTCATTTTTATCATGCCCCTTTCAATTCTTGCCTTCTTTTGATGAGTATTCAAAATTTGAAGTATGAAGTGACTCGCCGATGGTTTACTGGAACCGAAATAAACTGGAATGCTAATGTTTGTGGCAACTCAGTTTCATCTAACAGAAGTTTTCCATTTTCGCAAAGTTATGCAAGCTCCAGTTTAGAAGTGATGTGTGTGAAATCAGTGATCTATGGAAGATGACTATGGTGTCAAATCTTCAAAATAACTGTACTCTTCTCAAGGGTGATTTTACATACGCTTGCTTTGATTTTTCCTCGCAATTATTTATGTTTGTCTTTGACACTTTTTATTTTAATGTTGTTTCTTGTCATGCATCCTATAATGATCAAGTATTGCTGACTTTATATGGAATCCCCAACTCACCTTTTTACAGCAAATTTAACTTCTCTGTATCAAGTCTTGTCTAACAGCCAAAAAATGCTCTGTCTCCAGTTTCCACTTATGTCGAGATGTGGAAGGATTGACAAAATACTAGGAGCAGCTCAAGGTCCACATGAAGGGACTTTCCTGACAACTTTAGAAGACTTCCCTGGTGGGAGTGACATATTTTTAGTCACAGTTAAGTTCTGCTATGGTATTCGAATAGAATATACCCCAAGGAACATTGTAATGATTTATTGTGCAGCAGATTACTTGGAGATGACGGAGGACTATGGTGAAGATAATTTACTGTTTAAGGCAGATGCTTACTTTCATAAGAATATTCTGAAGAATTGGAAAGATTGCATATTAACTCTCCAAAGTTGTGATTCTGTCATACCAAGAGCAGACAAGCTAGAGATCATTAGTAAATGCTCGCATGCTCTCTCTGTGATGGTCTGCACAGATCCTAGTTTATTTGGATGGCCTATGTTGTTGTATGGCTGTTTACAGAGCCCTGGAGGTAGTATATTGTGGAATGGAATTAACACCGGTGCTAGAATCCAAACCATTGAATCTGACTGGTGGTTCGAAGACATCTCATATCTTTCTGTGCCATTATTTCAGAGATTAATTCGAACAATGGAAGCCAGAGGTATTAGACATGAAAATTTAGCAGGTGCTATGATGTACTACTGTAGGAAGTACCTTCCAGGACTTGGCCGGTGGCAGAGTGGGCAAATTGGTAAAACTAGAACAGTTGCTAGTTTCAGTATGACACCAGCTGCTGTCGATCAGAAAGTTCTTCTTGAAAGTGTTGCGAAACAGCTTCCTGAATTGAAGGGCAAATCTTTTTGCCGTTTCTTGTTGGGACTTCTGCGAGTTGCCTTGATACTTGGTGTGCACCACACATGCCTGGACTCGTTGGAGAGGAGAGCAGGAATGCAGTTGGACCTAGCATCCCTAGATGGTTTGCTGATACCTTCCTACTCAGATTCTGATACATTATATAACACCGACTGTGTTGAACGAATGATTCATCATTTTATATCTTCTGAATCTGGGATCACTGCAATACCTGATCCATCTTCATTTGAGATAGGAACATCACCATCATCCCATCCTTTAAGGAGAGTGGCGAAGTTGGTTGACAGCTATATTGCAGAAGTTGCATCTGATGTGAACCTAAAGCCGGGAAAAGTACGTTCACTTGCTGAAGCTCTCCCAGAATCTTCAAGATCTCTGCATGATGGGCTATATAGAGCTCTAGATATATACTTCAAGGTTTGATTCGGTCCCTGATATTTTACTGTGTGCTTAGTGATGATATAGCTGATTGTTTGGATCGGGGAATTTTAGTAGCTCAGTTGGTTGGCTGCCTGCCTGAACTCTCACCTTGTTGGTGAGGGTTTGATTCCCCACCTTGTAATCCCCTCCCCATTTCCCCTTCCCCTTCCCCCAAATTTTTTTAGTTGATTGTTTGGATTAATTTATTTTACCTGCTAGTTAACTGTCACATGATAGTTAGTCATTTCATTCTATTCCATCGATGTCTGCCTTTTTATATTTCATAGCATGTCAATTGCATATCCATTGTTGAAGACGGACATAAATAGGAAAGAGTCTTTCATTTCTGAGGGTAGGCCTCTAGTAAAAAGCGAATGCATCTCGGAAAGCTGCTTAGTCTTTTTTATGCTAAATGATTTTCTAGCTTATTTCTTCTGCTCTCTTTTATGCCATCTGTGTAGTCTCAACATGTATTCACCTTTTATATCTTTTTACTTTGTTTGTTATATGCTTCATTACTGACCTAGAGCTAAATTGCTTCCAACTCTGCACTGTGGAACCTTGTAGACTTTTAATGGATTGAAATGAAAATTGTATAGGCGCATCCTTGGCTTTCAGCAAAAGAGAAGGAGCAGCTTTGCAACATCATCGACTTTCAGAAGCTCTCTATTGATGCTTGCGCCCATGCATCCCAGAATGACAGATTGCCTCTTCGAGTTGTTCTCCAAGTTCTTTTCTTCGAGCAATTGCAGCTGAGAACAGCTTTAGCTGGTTGCTTCCAAGTCTTGGATACAGAAAGTGGCCCTGCAGCTCCTGTCACTGGCCCTAGTGACATGGCAGGTCAAATTGTACAAAGAGACGGATGGGTGACAGTCGTGCGTGAGAACCAGGGTCTAAAGGTGGACTTGGAAAGAATGAAATCTAGGGTTGGTGAACTTGAAGAAGAATTCAGCAAAATCAAACAAGAGATGAGAAAGGTCACAAAGTCACATAGTTACCTCAGTTCTCCGCGCTTTCTTGCCCGAAGGATTGGATGCAAGCTCCTTCCCCAATCCTCAGATACTCAACCAGATGTGGTTGAAAGCACAGGTCCAACCCCAAGATCATCAGTTGAGCAACCGAGAAGCTCAAGACACCATAAAAGCTCCTCTTTGATTTCATGACGAGAAGACTCAGGTTTGATGTCTATTCCCCCTGGAGAATGCCATTTATAAATATTTACCCTCCACACCAGAATTCTCGCACTACATGTTTGGAATAGATTCATCCCTTGATAATTCAGGGCACCTATATATCCCTTTGAGAAACCATTTCGAATTCATTTCATAAGATACAACTGTCCTGCTTGGCTGGCTGAGTATATTTAGTATGTTGGTTGGACAACAACAACAAAACGAAAATACTTATCCATCGGAACAATGGACTCCTGATGGAAGAAGATGAGAAGAAACTAAATTTATGGTTCAATCTCATGTATCTTGACACAAACATAGAATTCAGCTGATACTAGTAAAATCTGTTCCTTTCCTAGGAGCAATATAATGGGACTCTGTTGTCCACATTTCTCTCTTATACATGTACAGCTTCATGAAGAGTTTGTAAAGCTATATGATGAAGGTATTCATGTTTTTGTTTCATAAGTATACTAGCTGTAAAATGGAGGTCTAGTGGGACTAATTATATCTTTAGAAGAATTATGCATAAAGCTCTACATTCATCATTTTCAATTTGTTTGAAATTCTTATAATTGTTTGTACCAATTGGTTACATTTCAAGTTTGTTGTATTTTCATACTATTCCTACTACACTGATTATGAGATTGGTCTATATTGATTAGCAATATTGCTTTGTGAAAAGTTCTTGAGTGAATGGAGTAGTGAGTTCTGACTTGAGGTGGAGAAGTTTAACCACAAACTACAAGAACAAAGTTAATGTATGCATTATTTTTGCTAATACATTCTACCAAACGATCCTTTAGTGACTTAAGGTGATTTCGAGCCAAAAATTGTAATACCAAGGACATGTTTGAATCGAACTTTTAATGGATGATAAAGTTAAGACCTTTTCCGACAAATCCAGACCTTTCCCTATTATGAAATGATAAATATACAGATATTTAAGCAAGATTGTCATAGAAGGTAATGACGTAATGATATGATTATGAATGTTTTGGTTACAAGTAAATATGTAATATGAAAATGAGATAATAGTAAAAAATACATTTGAAATATTATTTTTTTGCGAGTTTATATTTGAATTGTAAGTGTTTTGATTTTTAATCTGAACTATTATCAATTATTTATCAAAACATGTCTCAAAGCTGACTAGACCAGTGCTTGAAATCGCCAAAATACACTCGTCCATAAAATTCCATCCACATGACAACTTACTCATTTATTCTGAGTCATGTTTTTGATAAATAGTTAGTGATATTCTAGGTGAAAAATGCAAACACCTTATAGTTCCAGGTAAAAAATGCAAACACCTGACCTTATAGTTTCAGGTAAAAGATGCAAACACTATAGTTAAGATAAGAAATTTACAAAAAGAAAAAAATGATGCTTCATATTTAATCATTATCTCTTAATTTATTTAATTATCTCTATAGAATGACTTTTGATATTATTTTCAAACAAAAAAAATAGCATACGTCACACATAATAATATACTTTGATAAATAATTTAAATAACAAACACAAACATCTTATAATTTGGATTAAATAACTCTAAAAAGAAATAAATAATGTTCATGTTTTTACCATTATCTCTATAAAAAAAATTAGGTGGGTCATGCACACTTCACTAATTTCAACCCTCCAAAGTTGTTGCAATTTCTCTAATACTATTATTAAAAAGGAAAAACTATATAATTAAACATACTTTACTATCATATACTATTATTATTTATACTTTCAAAATATTACGTATCTTACTATTAATTAAGAATTTTTTACTTATCTTACACTTAAATACATATATTTTTACTACTAGATACCCAAAAATAGGGAGAGAGGCAAACGAGATTGATGAGAGAGACAAACAAAATTTGTATGTATCAAAAATACATGCGAATCACTTTAGATACACACCAGATACATGAGAGAGTGGCAAGTGAGATTAGAGAGACGGATGAAATTTGCTATATATTTCAAATACATGCAAATCCATTTGAATACATGAAAACAATGTATCTAGAATAAAATACATCTAATTTGACTCGATACATTTGAGATACTTGTATTTAGATGTATGAGCCTTGATTAAACCTCTCGAAAAATAGCTGAATTTAAATTAGTCGAACTCCGTGACAAAATAAATAAAAGAATTTATGTCGTACGTTGTTGCTACTACTATAAAAAAAAAACTCGCAAGTGAACGTTGCTCGTTTCATCAAACAATGGCTCTGTTTCAATCATCACTTTCTCATATATCAATTCTTTCGATTTCTTCAAACAACACTCAAATTCCACAATTCAAATGCTTAAATCTCTCAAAGTTTGTATCTTTACAACAATCAATTACGAAAACTGATCGAATTTTCAGAATTACGTGTACTGGACAAGAATCCATCGTTAGAACTGTTGACGGAGGTGATGGGGGTAACGGAAAAGGTGGGTTTCCATCTGACAACAACGGTGGCGGAGATGATGGTGACGGCGGTGGTGGTTTTGATGAAAAAGAGTTTGGACCGATAGTGAAGTTTGATGAGGTGGTTAAAGAGGCCGAAAAATTAGGGGCGAAATTGCCTATTGATATGTTGGAAGCTGCTAAGACTACAGGGATTCGGAGATTGATTCTTAGTCGTTACTTGGATATGCAGGTGAAAAAAATGTATTCTTTTCGTTTTAATTTGGTTGTCTGTTTTTTACTTGACACGGAGTTTAAGAAAGTATAAAGTTTTTTGAATTTTTTGTTGTTAAACGAAAGATACGGAAGCTCCCGTTTGGCCATATATTTTGAAGTTGAAATTTGAGTTTTTTTGGAAATTGAAGTTGTGTTTGGACATGATAAAACTTGTGAAGTTCTGTGAGTGGAAGTTCAAAAATCCAAAATCAGCTAGTTTTTGGGAACTTGAAAATATTTGAAGATCAAATTTCATGGTCGAACGGATATTTGAAGATAAGTTTTCAAAATCTATGGCGGCATGTTAGCTTGGAATATATCAAAATGTTTTTCAAGCTTGTGGTCTTAGAGATGTCAGGTGGAAAGTTAGAATTAAAGAGTTGTCGAAAAAAGAAAAGAGACATTCTTTTTTAAATGGACTAAAAAAGAGAGTAAGATAAATAAATTGAAATGGAGGGAGTACTAATTTTGATGCAAAGTGTTCAATTTTATTTGATATGTGTGTAGATGTACTGATTGCATTTTGAATTGGTATTTTGACATTTAGGGTTCAGCTTGGCCGCTGGGATTTTTGATGAGACATTGCTCAATGCTGAGAAATCGAATGCTTGCTGATCCGTCGTTTTTGTTTAAAGTCGGAACAGAGGTTAGTTTGATAATCTGGGAACTATGTTTTCTTTTAATTGTTGAAAATAAAATGAAATTGAGAGGTAGCTATGCCAGTACTTTATTATGGCTGATCACTAATGTCATGAGGTGTTTGGTAATTGGTATTATCGATTGACTAGCGTGCCACAAATATTGCGCTCAAACTAACCCAAACACTAAACTTTAAAAGTAAATGCCAAAAATATTTCTTCTCTTTAAGAGTAATGATTGTGAAATGTGTTTGACTTGCATTTTTATCATATAGGGTACTAACCTACTAAGTAGCCACTGTGATCTGAGGTGTGCATGGCTCAAGTACAAAGCTTGTAATAAGTGATTATGGGATAGGTTGCTCTCTTTTACTAAGCTGTGGGGACAATCATGCTTATAGATATTCAAGGAAAAACATTTTAAGTCAAGGAATGGGTTGTGGAAAATGGATTAATAAATAGTTTTAACTGACGGGTACTTTATACATCAGTTAAAGAACTGGTAGCTAACAAGCTTGATTGTTAAAGAGTTTAAACCTGATAAGACTGGCAGTTTATACGTAATCTGATGTATTGCAGATTGTCATAGACTCCTGTTGTGCAACATTTGCAGAGGTTCAGAAAAGGGGAAAGGATTTCTGGGCAGAATTTGAGTTGTATGCAGCAGATCTTCTTGTTGGAATTGTTGTTGACATCGCATTGGTAGGCATGTTGGCTCCTTATGTCCGAATAGGCAAGCAGTCCATTTCAAGCAGCTCTTTTGGACGCTTTCGACATGCTTGTGGAGCTCTTCCCAGCAGGTGACTAATTTATTTGTGCACCTTCATTTCTACAGCATTCTCTGCTTTCCTTGGCTTCCAAGTCATGTACGACTCCAACTGTTGTACTTTCTTTTCTCATGATTTTGAGGATGTCACACAACATCTAGTGCGTTCACTAATTGCATCAGAGTAACAACTGTCACGTTCTTCTTAGAGATAGTTCAGTAAGCTAGATACAGAAAATAATTATATGTTCATGAAATTGTTTCACTTCATCTGAGCTGAAAACTCTCCGCTCACGCAGATGCACCTTGCTCATAAGTCATAACACATATAAACGTTATTCATATTCTGTGCGTTATCTGGAGTTCATTTTTGTGTTTTTACACAGTTTCAAATGGGAAAGCAACTTTTACAAACCATTGGACAAACTTTTACTCCAGTGATATGAAATGATCATAAAAATTATCTTAATCAACCAGTTAAATTTAAAATGTATATATCTCTTTGCATCTGATTGATCGCTTTCGGGTTTTTCTTCATTCAATTCCTGTCTAAACTTAATGGGAAGCTGTCAAAACTTTGGGATGCATTTTTCCATTGGAACATTAAAATTGAGACTGAAGAGAAACATACAATTGGATATATGTAGTATAGAAATGAATGCTTCTGCGGAGACTCATCAGGAAAGCATATCTTTACCTCTTCGCAGCCAATCAAATACAACATAATCTGTTCAGCATAGATTTGATATGTAAGATTTCAACACAGAGTAAAAGATTGAAATAATTTCTCTACTTTGGATTTTGACAGTATGTGGCTATCAGGGTATCAGATGAAGAAAGTTTTGAAGTTGATTCAATCACCTACTATTAGAAAAAGTAAACTGGTTCGAGATTCTTTAGCTGGATTTTGTGCTGTTTAAAGGTGATTTAAGATCTGGTTGATGTAAGAGAATGGTGATTGATTTGGATAACTTGTAAAGAAATATAGAACTGATACCCTCTTCTTTAGTAGATCCAGCTTGCAAGCTGTGACAAGAGTGAAGAATTTAATGTAGCAGAAACAGATTACACAACAGGCCTGGATGTTAAACTTTCACTTTAGTCGACTAAATGGTGAGATCAGGAAGTTCTGATCCGGATACTCAGTCATCATCAGTGAATAAGCGTCAACTAAGAGTCTTAGACTACACCTTTTCGAGATTGTTTTTTAATTTTTAATTTTTAACACCACGAGTTTCTTCATATTTCTATGATAGATTTTGAGAACTCTTGGCTATTTTTATGTGCCTATACAATTAAACTTTGCGGGTTAAGTACTGTGGCACAAGCCCGTATATTTTATTTGCATGGACAGCCTAAGTCTTTATATTATCAAGGTCTTTTGTTTCTTCTTTTAAGAACTTGATTGAGGTTGACCTCAGAGACTTAATCCTTCTCTTGTGTATAGTTACTTCTGCTGACCGTTAAGATTATTGTGGCAAGCTTCACCATTTTAGGATTAAAACATGTTATGAAAAGTGACCAAGGTTCTTGTAGAAATGGACCTGGGTATGGGTATTATGGCATTCTTCTTAAAAAGTGTTGGCTGCCTTAGGTGCATGCTAGAACTTTGATTTTTGAAACTTCTCTTGTTCACTTAGATTAAGTCAGATGATTTAATGCTTCCATAAGGGTGTGAGATTCTACATGAAAACTGGGAATAACATGGTCAGCACATCCTCTGTTTTTTTTTGTGGGTTAAGTTTGACGCGTGCTATGACAACTGGTAATAGTAGTGTTTCTGGTGCTGATTTCTGAATATCCATTTTTCTGCAGTGTTTTTGAAGCTGAGAGGCCAGGGTGTAAATTTACATTGCAGCAGCGTATTTCAACATTCTTTTACAAGGTATAAATATAATTGAACTTCTTTGTCAGTTTCAAAAAAATAAATAATTTAAACTTCTTTGTCAGTTTCAAAAAAATAAAGAAATAGATTTTCTTTGCTATCTTTTAGATGATCTTGGTACTTCCAGTCTATACAGATGATAGATCTTGGATAAGAGAATTTGTTTCTATGTGAATCCTTTTTCAAAGTCCTGATTCACAATCTATTATTTTGGTTCCATTTGATTTGTTGTTCCCCAAGTATTGAGTCATTTTGTAGTTCTGAAGCAGTTACTTTTTAGTGTTATAACCTATTTCACTTTCATGATTACCAGGGATTTTTGTATGGCTCAGTTGGATTTGGGTGTGGCCTCGTTGGTCAGGGCATTGCAAATTTGATAATGACTGCTAAGAGGTATGTTTGTGAAACACTCTCCACTCTAGTTCCACTTGAACTGTCAATACTGTACACCTCCAACTCTCAGCCAGCCATATTCAAGCTACAGTTATTGAGTGTTTCTTTTCCTTTGAAGTCGCGCTTATTCGATCCTTTTGACCAGTTGCATCAAACAAATATAGAGTTTCTTTGCTCTTCTGAATTGTATCCTGTCACATTTACATATCAATTAGATCAATTCTAGAATTGGTCGGCCTTCTTGTTATTTTTGTTTTGTGGCAGCTGCAAGCTACTCGACAAGAGTTTTCCTTTATTGCCGGCTGCTTTATAGCTATGCTCTTTTCTTCTTAGTTTCCTTTTTTTTTTTGGCTACATTTTCTTTATTCATTTTTAGGTGGATCTTCGATACCTTTGAAGTTGGATTCATGCAATGATATCTGCATTTAGTTTCTTTCATATTCTTCTTGACATGGATGTTATTGAAACTTGCTCTTTATCAAGATTTCATGCTATTTTTCCTATGAAGAACAGTATATAGAATATTATAAACATGGATCTTGTGTGTGCACAACTTCTCAAAATGTAGCTATTGGAATGTGTACATCTTTACTCACTCCAATGAACAAATTTTTTATCTTATGTACTTCAATTGTGATGCTTAGTTTCTGTTTCTGATCGCCACGAAATCAGCTGCGTGTCTATTCAGCTAAATGGTGTGCTATTCATTCTCGTAATGGGTTGACATTTGATATTCTTATGTGTCTAACAGGAGCATCAAGAAGTCAGAAGAGGACATACCTGTCCCTCCTTTAATAGGAAGTGCTGCACTCTGGGGTATGTGCTACTGCTTTTGAATTGTTATTTGTACCTTTGAATATATGTAGCTAAATAATTATAGAGCAAAGGGCAGACTCGAATCCACCATTCCTATTTAGAAGCTAATTAATGAATTCATATTTCTTAAGGAGGGTCATTTAATACAATATACTTTTGATGGATTCACCTTTATGAGAGTGGAGTGGGGCAGCTCCTATTAGGCCTAAGTCTTTAGAACTTTCATGAATAACCAGACATATGCAATAAGGAAAGCGCATGGCCTATATCACGCAACACCGCATTGAACAACAAAATTATAAGGGTCAAAATGTGATTTGAAATTGGGATACCAGATCTATTGCATTCAGACCATACAAATCTAGCAAGTCTTGCTATATTATTGCTTACTCTTTTATTCTTAAAAATCTTTTGAAATATGTGGGTGTTTGTTGGCAAAGTAATAGTGGTATTTCAAAAGAACTTGCACAAATAGCTTCTATGTAAAGGGTCTTTCACAACATGACCACATGGCTATGTGGCAAATGAACCCTTGACAAGTGGCAACCACGCAAAGAATCAATGGTCAATGGCATGCAACCCGTCATCCTATGACACATGGCATGACTAGATAATATCTTCCATCCCCCTTCATTAAAACATCAATAATTAGTCACTCCGTTACACCTACCTTCTTTCATAACTTACTTGATTTGTTATTTAAATTTTGTTGTTCGTTCTCCCTAAGTAGAGAAAGGCTTGTTTAATCCCGGAAAGACTTTCACATAGGTGAAATAGTTTCACAGCTCATTGCATGATTCAAGCCCTACTTATAGTTGCATTATTCTGTTATCCCAATAATACAAACTAAAAAATTTAAAGAAATATGAATTATATTCTGTCTGTTGTTTTTTGTAAGCTGGATTCTTTATATGATAACCTCTGTGCTCATGAAGATTTGAGGCTGTAGTGTCAAAAGAAAAATGAATTATTGGTGAAGAGTAGATGACAAATTAATAGATAAATTTCTGGTGGGACTTGAACATTTTACCTCACATCATATAGTTTGAAAGGAGAAAAAGTAAAAAGTCTTTAATGGACCACAGTTATGCAAGCTTGGGTTAATTTGATTGACATGATATTATTACAATTTTTCCAAAGTGCTTTCTGTTGTCAAATCTGCATGTGTTGTAGCCTTTCTCTACCTTTTGCTTGAATTGACTCTTTTTCTTTCTCCTTTTTCATTCAGGATTCTTTCTGGCAGTCTCTTCGAATACCCGATACCAAATTATAAATGGATTAGAGCGTTTAGTTGAAGCATCACCTGTAGCCAAACGCGTCCCCCCTGTTGCCATGGCCTTCACTGTGGGTGTACGATTTGCTAACAATATTTACGGTGGTATGCAGTTTGTGGAATGGGCTAAGCTGAGTGGGGTGCAATAAGAAAATGTGTTGTCAAGAATAAGAATTCCAATGCTGTTCAATTAGATAATAGGAGTAGTTTACTAGACAGGAAAAATAGTTTATTATGCAAGGATAACCTAGCAAATACAGATGTTAGAAGCCTGTTGAAATTATTGTATGCTACTGTTCTATGTTGCTCAGACTCTCCAAAAAAATTGTCGCACCCATGTAGGATCCTCCAAAAACACCCTACTTTGGGAAGCTCCGACACACACATGTCAGACATTTTTGAACTGTCCAAGCGACATAGAGTACTGTTAGTCTTACTCATTTCTCTTGTTTGATTGGTACTGTAGTTGTCAATTCATCAAGTTGATATCAAGGAGTCAACTTTCATTTTTACTTAGATGGCTAAGCAAATGCCTAATGGCATAGCCTTTGGCTAGTCATGCTATTAGCATGGCCAATTTGGAGCTACTTCCACAGCTCTTTCATTTTTATTTAGATGGCTAAGCAAATGCCTAATGGCATAGCCTTTGGCTAGTCATGCTATTAGCATGGCCAATTTGGAGCTACTTCCACAGCTTTGAACCACTATGGTTACCCCGAATGACCTTGAAAATGGATGATCTTGAATTTTTGACTTCTGCTTGTCCCTACGGGGAAACTTACAATGTAAGGTTGAAACTTATAGATGTTAAGCTTTGCTCATGTGACAAGCAGCGATAAAAATTCAAAACCACTAACCTTCAAAGTTGTTTTTGTAAATCAAAAGAAAAAATCTTATCTCTCTTGAGTGAAGTGTCATACGAATCACTTAGTCAGCGAAATATAGAATTTGTTAAATATTTGATGGAGATTCGAAGTGTTGAATATTGACAAACTTAAATAATTAAAACTACTCAAAAGTGTCACTTCAAAAAATATATTATTAATATATAATTGTCTTTGATTCGAGCTTTGTAAATGGAAAAAATTATTTAGGTGGGGAGCATTTTTTTTTCCCTTCCTATAATGAGCTTTATGCCGTGCAGATTCAAATTAGTTAGCTTTCAAAGCAGGTAGCAAATACCGAGTGAGAAAATTATTGAGGAGTAGTTAAGGGACTATTGTTGTTGTTATACAAAACAGAAAACAACAAAGGAAAAAAGAATATTCCAGTTGTTAGTGCTTATTAAAAAGTTGTCTTTGAGGATAACAGAAAATTACAGCCTGTCCCAAACCAAATCATATGGAGCAAAATAACTTGTTTTATTTTCTATAATTTAAGTAGAATAATTAAATCAGTGTGTGTTTGGATTAGCTTATATTAAGTAGTTTTATTTTTATTTTTGTTGGTGTTTGAGAAAAATTTAGCCCGAAAAAGTATAAATCAAAAGTCAAAAGTTTGGTGTTTTCAACTTGTGATTTTTAGCTTATACTATAAGCTACTTTTAAAAAGTCAATTCACACACCCAATAAATGTAAAGTAAAAGAATGTCAATGTATTGTTTAGTATTGACAAGAATCAATTCAACTATTTATAGACAATAAATGAAATACATCAACCAATTAGAATGCTTCGTTCGAGCCCTACAATACAAAATCCAATAGAAACAATACACTTCTAGATACAATTATGTATGTCAGCTATATATCTTTTTTGTGTGAAACTTACTGACGAGTCTGTCCTTTTGTTCTTCTAACGCATTTTCGAAAGTCTTTTTTATCTCTCAACACGTTTTTGAACCACTTTTATCTGTTGAAAATCCTTTAATTGATCCACTATCATGATGGAAGTAAATAGTAATCAATCCGGATAAACAATGATCCTTGCTTTGATGACTTCTTGAAGGAAGCTTTTTTTAAAAAAAATATTTCGTTCTAACTCATTCTTTAATTTTCTTCAAATGCCTACCAACACCGAATATTTCATGCACTAAATTATTCTTTTGCTAAGGGTTACCACAATGAAATAGGATATTATTTATATTTTAATTTATTTGTTCTATTTTAATATGATACGAACTTTAAGAAAATAAAACAGATCTTAAATTATATATATATAAATATATATAATATAAGAAATTAAAATTTAAAAAATTGCTAGAAAGAAAAGAATCAAAGATGCACATTTTTAAAACCATATCATATATTTATATAAAAGAAAACCCTAGGTCCGCCTATGTGGCGCCACCACAAATCAGAATTCTCTTTTAATTTATAATACGTGGCGCCACCACAAACCAGGATCCCCTTTTAATTTATAGTATTTCCAAAACTAGCCTTCCTCTCTCATGAAAAGTTGTGACTTTTACGAAAAGTTGCAAATTCTATGAAAAGTTGTGACTTTTATGAAAGGTTGCGACGTTTATGAAAAGTTGTGACTTTTATAAAAGGTTGTGACCTTTCCGAAGGGTTGTAACATTTTCAAAGAGTTATGATCTTTCCGATAAGTCACAATAAGCATTTGTTCACACTACCCTTTATTGTCTATAAATAGAGGAATTTTCTCTCATTTTAAAACAACGAAAAATCTGCACTTCTTCTTTTGCACAATTAAATATTCGTTTACTTTGCTCCTGTTAAGTGACTTACTGACACCATTGTTTTTGTATCAATACGTTGTAAAATCGTTCCATCATGAGAGGATCTAATTCTTTAAACCTCAGGTATTAGATGGGAATAAATTTTTTTAGGAGACAATGTGCATTCAGTAGACTTGATTTTTTCCCCTCTATATTTCATTCTATTTTACATATCATTGTATGTTTTTTTACAGTCATTAATTTATGTTTGTGATATTAATTGTTGGTTTTGAGTACATGTTTTAAACTCTATTGCTTATGTTTTTGCAAAATTATTGTCACCAATTATATTGAACATATACACATATAGTAGGTATATTCATTGTGCAGAAAATAATTATTGTACTTAGTTCCAAAAATTCATGTTATGATATTCTATATAAAGTAACTTAAAAGTACTATATATAAACTTACATATTATCTATTTTTACATAGTTATGAAGTTTCTCACTTATTAATTGAAGAAATTTATTATGCAAGTTCAAAAGTTATAATTGCTTTCACGTTCAAGCGTAATTTCTTTTTTGAATTTGTTAACAAATATTTGAATTTTATCCTGAGACATATATCACAATTGTGTAATCTATGCAACTCAAATGTGTTCTTTTTCTTACTAAAATGCCTTTGTATATATATTCTTATTTTCTTCTTTATTTTCCTTTTAATGTTGATTAATGAACCAATGATTTATTATTTCCTGAATAACTCATTCATGAGTTATGTGATAACGACAAATAATCAAATTCATGCTGGAATATTGCTAATATTTTTTAAGAACCTATTTTTTCCATTATTTTAATGTATGGATATTAGTAAAGAATTATTTACAAGTTCAACGTAATTATTATTTATGACCGCGCGAAACGCGCGCAAATTACCTAATATATAAATAAAAGAGAATCATATGCCCACCTACGTGGCGCCACCACAAACCATGATTCCTTTTTAAATTTATTTATTTCCAAAACTAGTCTTCTCCTTTCATGAAACGTTGTGACTTTTATGAAAAATCTTGACTTTTATGAAGGGTTGCGACTTTAATGAAAAATTGTGACTTTCGCGAAAAGTTGTGACTTTTATGAGGAGTTACGACTTTTATGAAAGGTTGTTACCTTTCTGAAGGGTTGTAACTTTTCCAAAGAGTTGTGACATTTCCGATAAAGCATAATAAACATTTGTTGACACTACCATTTGTTGTCTATAAATAGAGGAATTTTCTCTCATTTTAAAACAACGAAAATGTTGAACTTCTTCTTCTTTTTCTGCACAAATAAATATTCGTGTACGTTACTCCTATTGGGTGACTTACTACACCACTGTATTTGTATCAATACACTAGTGAATAGAATCGTTCTATCCTGAGAGAATCTATTTCTTTAAACCTCGAGTACAAGAGGAGAATAATTTCTTTAAAGAAACACTGTGCATTCAGTTGTGGGCTCAATTTTTTTCTTTCTGTTTTATTCTATTGTTGCAGATCCTGATATATTTTTTACCGTCATTAAATATAACACTTTAAGATTTCGGAGGAATATTTTGCCTTAAGATAAAATGTTATTGACAATGTAGAGTATGTATAAAAAATACAGATATTAATAACATAAACATATGTATGCTTAATAAAAGAGTTCAATCCCGTGTGAAAGAGTTCAATCTCGTGCGAAACTAGGGGTGTGCATCGGTCGGTTCGGTTCGGTTTTAGGTGTTATTGGTTCGGTTTATCGGTTTTCGGTTTGTAAATACATCAAACCGATAACCAAACCAATAACATATTTCTTATCGGTTTTTGGTTAATCGGTTTATGGTACTTAACGGTTCGATTTTCGGTTTAACCAATAAGAAAATACTCATATATACTCCCTCCGTCCCTATTTACTTGTCCATATTTCCTCTTTTAGATGTCCCTATTTACTTGTCCATTTTGACAAATCAAGAAAGGACAAAAAAGAATTTCCTATTATACCCTCATTTAAACTTCTTGAAAATTTAAACTTCCCCCAACATTGATTAGTTATCTTGAATAAATTTATTTTGGAATCATAATTAATAAGGGCAAAATTGTAACTTCACTATGCTAATCATTGTTGCCTTAATATGTGTGTCATTTCTAAAGTGGACAACTAAATAGGGACAGAGGGAGTATTATATACACGATAAGAAATTTTTCAAATAAACCATATGATTTTTCCAGCATTTGGCATGAAAGTAATAATCATAAAAGTAACAATCATTTTTCTTGCAAGTTTAGACACTAGACACATTCAAAGGAAAAAGTGTGAAAGTAACAATCGTTTAACCATTAACAAAAAGTGTGAAAGTAACAATCGTTTAACCATTAACAAAAAGTGTGAAAGTAACAATCGTTTAACCATTAACAAAAAGTGTGAAAGTAACAATCGTTTAACCATTAACAAAAAGTGTGAAAGTAACAATCGTTTAACCATTAACAAAAAGTGTGAAA